CGTGCGGGCGCTGTCGGGGCGCCGAGGGACCGGGCGGGAGCTGCTGCCTTTTCCCGTGGGAACAGGAGTCCATGAGCCTGTTCCCACCGGCCTTGCTGCGGGGACTGAGGCAGTGCTTGGGAAAGAGAAGAGGAGCAAAGCATTAAATGGAATCACAGAGCCCCGGGGGTGGCGGTCGCTTAATCACCGTGAAGGGGGTTGCACCGGGGCGAGTGGCCCTGCCAGCGCCCGAGGAGCTCTCCAGGCCCCTGGCTCCTCCGGGCCTTTTTGGAGGCTTCTTTTTTGTTTTGGGGAAAGCTTGGGCCAGCAACGTACAGAGCAGGAGACTTCCCTGGAGCCAGAGGCGGCTCCTCGCCGAGTCGTGAGGCTGTGGGGTGCCCAGCGCCTCCATCGCTGCGGCCTCCTCTTCCAAAGCGTTGGAAAAGGGCCCAGCTCCAGCTAGGGCTCCGCTCGCCCCAACAGACCCCGCATCCGACACAGCATTTGGTGCCCCCCTTGCTGTCCGCAGCAGGGTCTGCTCAGCCCAGGGCTGCCTGATCTGCAGCTGGTCCCGGTTCCAGCCGGGAGCTTCCCTGGGACAACAGCAACACGCCGCGGAGGGTGGCTATGGAGTGGGCACGCAGCGTTGCCCCCCATTCCATGCAGCTCCAGCCATTGGGAGCCGCTCGGATCAAACGTGGCTTTTGCTCCCCCCGGCTCACAGACAATAGGGCCGGAGGGCACCCGGGGAAGGCAGCGTGTCCCTTTCCCGGCCGGCAAGCTTGCCTTCGGATCCTGGTCCCTTTTACCCAGGGCTGCTGGGGCCAGTGGGTGCTCTCTGGCTTCATTGTCCAGCGGGAATGCTTGCAAAAGGGCCTTGGAAACGCCATGGAGCCTGGGCATGGGATGAGGCCTGGGCGCTTCGTGTCCGTGCGAACACCAGGGATGGGCAGGTGGAGAGCGCCTAGATCCAGCGACGTCCAGGCCGGCATCGTGCGAGGGAGGAGGCTGCAAACAGGGAGCGTCGCCCGCGAGGGGCTGGTCCGAGTGCAGCTCCGAGGCCTCCGCTTGGTGCCAGAGCGGAGTTTCCCACCATCCAAGCCGAAATCCCGCTCCAGCCGGGTTTCGGTGTGGATGGGAGGGTGCCGGCTCGTGCAGCACTTGTGGTTTCTCTCCCCGAGGATCCGTCCTGCTCCGTTGTCCACTGGCTCTTTGGCCTAGTTGGATTCTGTCTCAGCTCTGCCTTCCCAGGCTGGCCCATGGGGCTAATTCCACTTGCCCGCCACTGCCTTGTGGGATTTGCTGGTGTTAAGGGATAGATGCTCGGAGCAGATTGACCAGAGCTCCAGGTGCAGCAGAAGTCTCTGTGGCTGTACTGATTTTGGGGTAGAAACTGGCCTTTTGTGGCACTGATGCAACACGTCCAGGACTGAGGCCCTGGAAACGCTCTTGGAGAATGTCCTAAAATGAAAGAACCGGCCCCATACGCTTGTCATCGGCTGGGGGGGGGAGCTGCTCTGC